CCTTTTCACGAACCTCTTTAGGATCCTCTTTAAGAGCCTCTTTAGGATCCTCTTTACGAGCCTCTTTACGAGCTTTCTTCAGAGGTCTTGGACTATCTTCCTTCACCTCAACTATGTGTATCTTTGAAGGACTCATAATCGCCGGTTTTTTACCCTCCCTAGTACCGGTGACTTCCCAGCAACCCAAGGTCCACTTCCACGGTCTCTTCTCAAACATGAGTTTAATGATGTTGTCCGCGGCCGAGTCCTCAATATCAGAGTCCCATTTTGGCCACATATCACCAATGTCCTTCTCAACAAAGTTGATCACGCGGGTCTGCAGTAAATAGAAGATTCGACCTTAGATATTTGACGGATTAAGAAAGAAAGAAAAGACTTCTAATTAAGTCGTCTGGAAGGTCGTCTAGCTGGACGACTTACCGGATGACTTTAATTTAAGTCGTCTGAGAAATCTTTTAAGTGGACGACTTAGTAGAGACTCTACTAAGTCGTCCACTTATAAGACTTTCCAGATGACTTAAATTAAAGTCGTCCGGTAAGTCGTTCAGCTAGACGACCTTCCAGACGACTTAATTATAAGTCGTCTGAGAAGTCTTTTCTTTTGGATTGAAGTACATACCTGTCTACATATAGCTTCTTTAAATAATATGCGTCCTTTGCCACCCTTGTAAGCCAGTATCGGTGGTGACAGACTGTTTGGTCTGGGACCACCATAAGTAGCACCCAATTCCGGCAGAGCTGTGTACACCCAGACCTGAAGAACTTGTATAAATCCATCCACAGTGTAACAACCACTAATATCTTTGTTCCTCAAAGAGTCCATCAGCACCTTAAACGCGACTCTCCCCCATGGATAATTCTCAAACCGTTCTAAATCCATCACTAGCCTTGCCAGACTAGCTCGTGTAGGGGTTGAATACTTTCTCCCTTCAATAATTCAAGTGAAAATTGAAAGGTACGCGAGCCGCTTACGATCTTCCGGAGACCACTCCTTGCAACTCTCCAATGCTGTTTTTATCTGGTCAGTCGTTGGCCTAGCTTCGATATGAACTCCCAGCTTCCCCCAAAAAGAAACCAACTCTTTTGTAACTTCACATTTTGGTCTCTCAAGGTTCTCGATGTACTCGCAGTTAAGACCAGTGAGGTTTTCAAACTCTAACAGTGAAAACCTCACAGGTTCTGGACCAACGAGACACCACAGCTCATACTTCTTCTTTATGTCCAGCTAGAAACTGAGCATGTAGTGAACCAACCTTGAAGCCCAACCAAATCCCAGCTCTTTGAACTTGATGAAAACACCCAACTTCGACTCCTTCAGCTCTGCATATTCCTCATCCGTAAGAGCATTCTTAAGAGCAGTATGCAACTTGGTATTATCCGAATGATACGAAATGCTATTATGGGCGTCTGGCTCTTCCCATGATGTATATAACCTACGGGGGAGTTCTGGAATATCCATCCTTTTTGTCTGCAAAATAATCAAAGATAACGACAGAGATAAGCAAAACAAGCTAAATCTAACAAAGCTTTCAACTTTCATTAGCGGGAACTCACATAGAAGTCAGAACACAAGCTAAATCAATCACGCTTTAATTGTAACTCTGGACGACTTAGTAGACGACTTTAAATTAAGTCGTCAGGAAAGTCTTCCAACTGGACGACTTAGCGGACGACTTATAATTAAATCGTCTGGAAAGTCGTCCAGCTGGAAGACTTATAATTAAGTCGTCTACTAAGTCGTCCAGTTGGAAGACTTTCCATACGACTAAATTATAAGTCGTCCAATATAACATTTTAAAGCGGACCTGTTTAGACGGAGAAGAAGTAGTCGCCATCGACATAGCGGTTATAGTTCTGAAAAAATAAACGTGAAAAAGAAGCTCGGTGAGAACGAGTATAAAAATGGTTAGAGACAACGTTTATGTTCATCTTTTCCTCAATCAATCCCTCGACAGTAAGAGATATGACTTACCGGCGTTATGGTTTAAGCGGCGGTGAGAGAAACGGCATTTGGAATTCTGAATTTCGAGAAAAAATGACAACGAGTATAAAAATGGTTAGAGACAACGTTTATGTTCATCTTTTCCTCAATCAATCCCTCGACAGTAAGAGATATGACTTACCGGCGTTAGGGTTTACAGAGAAACGGCACTAGGGTTTAAAGGAAGCGGCGGAGAGAGCGTTGATGAGCACGGTGGTGAGAACGATGATGGGATAGATAACCGGCGTTGAGACGATGGTTTGCTCGGAAATCGTTGGAAATCGCCTTTGAGAGAAACGGTTTGAATTCTGAATTTCGCGAAAAAATGAACAAAAAAAAACACCTTATATATCGGGTAAATAAACCATCGGGTAAATAAACCGGCTAGGTTAAAAAATACATTGGTAAAATTAAAGGTTCGGTCCGGTTTGGATGACTTACTAGTAAGTCGTCTGTCGGATAATGTACATCGAACGACTTAATATTTAGTCGTTTGTATTTAGACGACTTATAATTAAGTCGTCTGACAAATCTTCCGGCTGAATGACTTTCCAGACGACTTAAATATTAGTCGTCCAGGCTTTATGAGTATGTTTTAAGAATTTGTGTTAGTTTTCTTAGACGACTAATAATTAAGTCGCCTGACAAATCTTCCGGCTGGATGACTTTCCGGACGACTTAATTATAAGTCTTCTATATACAGACGACTTAATATTAAGTCGTCCGATGTACATTATCCGACAGACGACTAATTATAATAGCTGATCTTCCATTACAAGTCAAAGGTTTAAAAACATTTTGAAACAAGGGAACAACAACATAGAAGTCATCATTACAAGTCCACTAGAAGCATATTACAATAAGACAATAGCAAGAAAAACAACATCTCATTTAGGAAGAGACGAGGAAGTTGAGGCACCATCCGCAGCATCATCCACTTGAGGAGGACCGAAAGGAGTCACATGAAATACCATGTCTCCTTCCTTTTTGAACACGAAAATGTCACCGACGCAAAGGGAGTGTGCTTGGGCGAAGGCTTTCCAACCATCGGTGAGTGTTCTTCCTTCTTGTATAACTTCCCAAGTTTGGTGTGAAGCGTCCGATCGTAGTGTCCATTTTCCTTCGTTCCCTTCTATGTGTTTTGAGTAGAAGGCAAGTGGTATTGTCTACAAGTCAACAAAGGAGAAGTTAAGCAAAGGAAATAAGCAGAGGAGAAATAGAGAGCGTGTGTATACCACGCCACTGCAGAAACCAAGAAGCAGAGGCTTCAAGAAGTGAGGTTCATGCTGATTCGCCATCTGCAAACAAGAAACGAAATTGGAACATTTTAATTCTAAGTCTGGAAGACTTATATTAATTATAAGTCTACAAAGACTTCCAGTAGAACATTTGAAAGCTGACCTGGAAATTCGGAGAAGATGTACTCGCATTCGACATAGCGGTTATAGAACTGCAAAAATAGACGTGAAAAAAGAAGTGCGATTAGAACATTTGAAAGCTGACCAGACGAATGAGAGGAAAACTACATCCAACCTAACTAAACAACAAATCGATTGAAATCCCCAATTTTTGAAACCTTAATTTGAAACCAAAATTTCTAGAAATCGTTGAAAACACAAAACAAAACGGTAAAAGTAAAGGAAAACAACATCCATCCTAATAAAAACCCACAAATCCGCAAGAGAAGCCTTCGATTTACCTTGGTCTTGTATCGGATCGAAATCGCCTCGAAATCACATTTGAGAGAAACGACGTTAGGATTTTCTGAATTTCGCGAAAAAGTGAGTTAAAAAAAACATCTTATATATGTCCGGTCAAAAATACGGTTAGGTTTAAAAGTAATTTCGTAAAATCCGGTTTGGACGACTTATAATTAAGTCGCATGTTGATACTATAAGACGACTAAGTCGTCTGCCTTATTAAATATATTTACCAGACGACTTAATTATAAGTCGTCCAGACCCTAAACCCTAAACCATAAACTAAATTGACTAAATTAACTAACTAACCACGTTATAAAATCAAATTATACTTAAATATTGTTTACTATACACATAAATAAACACACTTAGGTAAATTTTTAATTTTTCAAAAAAACATTTATCCTTTCAAAAATCTAACCCTAAGAAATACATAAAATACTACAACATATGTTGGTGAAACCTAAACTAAAGAATATCATGACTCACTACTTTTGATTCAAGTTTGGGTTGCAACTTCAATAGTCTTTTAAGTTACTTTTGCATTTGATTCAAGTTTGGATTTACTTTTGCATTTCAAATCAAGTTTTGAGTCATATTTGGCAATTTTCCCCTCATAGAATTTAAATATAATTTTAGATATAATTTTACTTATATCAAAAATATTAAATTAAAAAATATAAAATAATTCAATTGTGAATATGAAATAATTAATACGATAGTTTTTTTGTACTTATATAAAAATATATAATATAAATTACTAATTCTAATAAAATCATATATTTACATAAAATTATTGGAAACAATATTTTATAATATCTATTTGTTTCGTATTTTAAATTAGTCAAATTTAATATTGTGAATTTATGGAGTATTAATTTATAGAATTTCTATTGTATAATTAACACATCTGTTGATTTTTTTGTTACTGAATTTAGAAACATGGTGATAGATAATTCTTTTTTTTTACATTTAGAAATTCCGTATTGGAAAATGTGTGTTAACTTACAAATTAAATAGTAGATTTATGATTTACCGTATTATTATTCCTAGACATGGTTGACTAAAGAAACAACAAAGCATAAACCTTTTTGACTAATCAATATCTGAGCTCTATAAATTTTAAAGAGTCTATAATGAGAAAAAATTAATCATGCATTCAATAAACAAACTCTAGATTCTGTAATGACCATAATTAAAAAGAAAAACTCTTACATTAATGGAGTATTAATATACCTAACGCTTTTCTTGTGAGTCTATGACTTGTTAATAAAGCAGAGACCCACCAGTCCCATTTACCGTGTAGAAAGAGCGAAGTGGAAGGTAGCTCCTTTTCTCAGCCGCACTTCTTCTTCTTCTTCTGAGATTTCACCATTAGCTTTCTCATCGGCTTCTTCGATCATCGGCCTACAAAAGTTTGTCAATTCTCAAGGATCTCTGTCTTATGAACTTTAGTTTTTGAAGAAGATGGATCCTTCTTCTCAACGACAATCTCCAAATGGGTCCAGAGGTTTTCGCCTTCAAGCTCCATTGGTAAGCCCCCTTCCTTCCTTCACGGGCTTCTATTCTTTTGACTATGCATTTAAATTCACTTCAATTTCTTTCCTTTTTCAGAAACCCTAACTAAAATCAGTAGTCTTTACTCCCCNCTTTAGTTTTTGAAGAAGATGGATCCTTCTTCTCAACGACAATCTCCAAATGGGTCCAGAGGTTTTCGCCTTCAAGCTCCATTGGTAAGCCCCCTTCCTTCCTTCACGGGCTTCTATTCTTTTGACTATGCATTTAAATTCACTTCAATTTCTTTCCTTTTTCAGAAACCCTAACTAAAATCAGTAGTCTTTACTCCCCCTTTGTTGACAAAATGCTTCCTTTATCCCCTGTTTTTAGAAAGTCTGCTCCTTTTTTTGATTCTTGAAATTTGGAATCTTTTCAGGTAGATTCCGTTTCTTGCTATTGCAGAGTAGATTCAGGTCTCAAGAGTGTTGTAGAAGCAAGAAAGTTTGTTCCTGGGTCAAAGCTTTGTATCCAACCCGATATCAACCCCAATGCTCATCGTCGCAGCAAGAACCCTAAGCGAGAGAGGACAAGAATCCAACCTCCGCTTCTCCCTGGCCTCCCTGACGATCTAGCCGTCGCTTGCCTCATCCGTGTCCCTCGTTCAGACCATAGGAAACTCAGGCTTGTGTGTAAGAGATGGTACAGGCTTGCTTCTGGCAACTTTTTCTACTCTCAAAGGAAGTTACTTGCCATGTCTGAAGAATGGGCTTATGTTTTTAAGAGAGATCGTGATGGGAAGATCTCTTGGAACACGATTGATCCTGTCTCCCAGGTTCCGCAGCCGCTTCCACCTGTTCCTAGAGAGTATTCTGAAGCTGTTGGGTTTGGTTGTGCTGTTCTAAGCGGTTGTCATCTTTATTTGTTTGGAGGTAAGGATCCGCTTAGAGGATCAATGAGGAGGGTCATTTTCTATAATGCCAGGACGAATAAGTGGCACAGGGCGCCGGATATGCTTAGGAAGCGACATTTCTTTGGTTCTTGCGTCATTAACAACTGTTTGTATGTAGCCGGTGGGGAGTGTGAAGGGATACAGAGGACGCTACGCTCAGCTGAGGTTTATGATCCGAACAAGAACAGGTGGAGTTTTGTTGCTGATATGAGCACAGCGATGGTGCCACTTATCGGTGTGGTTTATGACAAGAAGTGGTTTCTCAAGGGACTTGGGTCTCACCAACAGGTCATGAGTGAAGCTTATGACCCTGAAACTAACTCATGGAGCCCTGTGAGTGACGGGATGGTTACTGGTTGGAGAAACCCATGTACTTCTCTAAACGGCCGTCTCTACGGATTGGATTGTAAGGATGGCTGCAAGCTCAGGGTGTTTGATGAAACCACGAATTCATGGAACAAGTTCATGGACAGTAAAGTACACTTGGGGAACTCGACCTCGCTTGAAGCTGCGGCTCTTGTTCCGCTGAATAATAAGCTTTGTATAGTAAGGAACAACATGAGCATGAGTCTGGTTGATGTAACGAATCCTGATAAGAACAACCCTCGAGTGTGGGAAAACATTGCGGTAAAAGGACAGTCTAAGAGCATTCTCAGTAATATATGGTCGAGTATCGCAGGTAGGGCTGTGAAAAGCCATATTGTGCATTGCCAAGTGCTTCAAGCCTGACAACAATGGATCCAGAAGAGAATGTTGAGAAGAAACCCAACCACATTTAGCTTCCAAGAAGAGAAATACTGTCTCAAGAACTGTATCTTCGTCACAGTCATCATCAACCGAATGAATCTACAGAGGCGAAGAACTCAATGTCTGGTCTTAACAGTCATACAAGAGAGGAGAGAAAGCAAGAACAGACGTGGCTATCTCTTCTGGTGTTGTTAATCGTTGTTAGTATTTATAGGAAGGTGGTCTTCTAAACGGTTTTCGCAATTGTTATTGGCATTTTGTTTTCTGTGATCTGTAAATCTCAAGTCTTTTGTCTATATATAATTCGAATGAAATCGAAATATGAATAGTTCAAGAGCAGAAAATTGAGAAGAAGAGAAGCAACTCTTGTAAGCTGTTTACAGATAGAGACCAGAACTTGTGTCTGGTCTTAAACAGTTTTTAAGAGAGTAAGAACAGACATGGCCATCTCTACTCGTGTCGTGTATTTCTGTTAGTAGCTATTGTTGTTAAACATTTTGTAAATCTCAAGTCTTTGGTCTATAAATAAATGTTCTTATAAGAATTGTTTTTCTCATAAACTACAACATCGACATATATATAATAAAGGAGGAGGAGATAGGCTTAAGGCTGATTCATTAAGCTTCAAGACTCAGTTTCTTGGAGCAAGACGGAACATCCTTGAACATAGACTTCGGTAAAGACTTGGATACGAATCCGACGGAGAAGACAATCTCTCCAGAGCCTGGATTCGACTTCATGGCTGTGATCGATGCCCAGATGAACAATTCTTTAGCTTTGATTCCTTCGACGTCTTTGACAGATCCGTAGCTGAGCTTCCCGGCGATCTTCTTGTCGTAGAAAACGGTTTGACCGGGGAAATCGACGTAGCAGGGAGTGTTTAAGTCGACGGTGAAGTCTCCGGCGTCGGAGAGAGTGTACGATTTGACGTTATCGGGAAGAAGACCTTTGGGGAATCCGTAGCGCGGGAGGAGATCGTGGACGTCATCGGTGGCGAGAGATGGACGGTGGAGATCGAGAGATGATAAAGCGGTGGAGAGAGATAACAGAGAGAGGAGGAAGAGGCAGGAGAGTGTGATGATCGAAGAAGCCATTGGTGTGAATGATGGTGACTGCACTGAGAAGAATGGTCCGTGATATAAACATACACATTGAGGGTAGTTTGGGACTAACGTAAAGTTATTAACTCGACAAGTGTATATAATATTAAGAATTTTTCTGAACGCAACTCTCTTTAAAATTTTTACCTGTCATTTACTACACTGCCATTTGTTCGACATTCACAAATTTCCCTTTGATTTTTTTTCAGTGCGGATAATAATTTATCGTCGTGATTCAGTGACCAAATTTCTCTCAAAACTTCTTTCTCTCTAGACTTCGTCAGGTGATCTTGAACCTTCTCATCGGAGAATCAGATTTGATATGTTCAGAGCTATTTTCTAGTAGAAAATCAAGCAAAAGCAAAATATGGAACTGGATCCGAGTGCTATGCAAAATCTTACTCATGGAGTTATCAATCGCCGCGGAAGAGGTAAAACTGTAAAAGCCAAGCCGGACAGTATTCAAAAGTTTTCAAAAAGACAAGTCAGTTTTGTAGAAGGTGTGGAGACTATAGGATCAGAGGAAGAATAAAAAGATGTGACTTTTATTATGAATGGATCCCAGAGATATGTAAATCAGGGCTACATAAATTTTATGGCATTGATCAGATAAGTGATTACAACCAAGGTTCACAGCAGCAGAGACCCTAAATCAACAACAAAACCTACAAATCTTCCTTTTACCATATCATCGCATCAGCTACCCAGAAGAATAAGATTGAAACCATGATTGAGAAGGTCTTGGAGGGGCAGCAAAAGATGACAGTGGACTTCAATAGAAAAATTAATGTTGTATATATAAACCTCAACACCAAATTTGAAACTCTTAACATCCATATGAAGAAGTTAGAGAATTTAATTGTTTAGACAAGTGAGGGTGTGAAAAGACAAGATGCCTTGACTAAGGAGAAGATTGAGGTTGGACGGAAGCATCACGTCAATGCCATTAAGATGAAGAAATTTCTGAAAAGTTTTTGCCCTGTTTGAGTGACCATGGGTCGACGCCAGATGTAAACCATCAATCGGCAGTCCACACTGAAACCGAAGGATCATGCGATGTGATGAACATCGATTGACAGCCAGACCTGGCCATCGATCGACGACTGTTTGAACTGAAGAAGTGTTTGTTGCCAAAGATATATGCAAATCTTCTTAATGTAATAGACATCTGACTCCCATCCCATCCAAACCCAAACATAAATATGAAACACCATTGAGGGAAGCAGAAGATCTCTAAGCATCTTAGAAAGAGGAGTTAATGAGAAAGAGATAGATATATTTACTAAGAGAGTCCTTAGGATCCCTTTAGATACCCCATTCGAAGAAGCTTATTACATCCATAGACTATGGATGTTCTTCAGAGAAACCAAGGAGACTGATAAGGACATTGAGGATTTGTTCAATCTTCTGAAGGAGAAGAGGAAGCAAAGGATTCAATTAAAGAATATAAGTGACCCGAGGAAGTTTGTGATTCCCTGCAACATCAAGGGACAAGATTACCCACATGTACTCTGCGATACATGTTCTTCAGTAAGCATTATGCCAAGAGACATGGAAGAGGTGCTAAGTTTAAAGGTGAAACCTTCAAGGGATTCATTCACTTTTATGGATTACTCTGAGGTTAATTCAGGAGGTATAGTAAAAGATTTCGAAGTGGAAATATGCAATACCCTAATCCATGTAGACTTTCATGTCCTAGACGTCAAATTGGAGAAGAGTTCATCCCTACTACTTGGAATAGCTTTCATGGCAACCGTAGGAGCAGTATACGACATGCAAACAAACAAGTTGTATCCATCTCTCATTTATCAAACTCAATACTATGAACATGTTCATATTAGAACCAAGAGTGCTTTCATTGGTTAGGTTCATGAGCCAGGACTTGTGGCTACATGTTTCTGCGATTTCAAGCAAGAGGATGACTCTGATGACAGAGCATCGATTGATACCCAGCCCAAACCATTGATCAACGATGAAAACAACCAGACGACTGATACCCACTCTTTGACATCGATCGACGCTAAGGACACCAGGCCTGACCTAGAGTATGACGAGTCTTATCTGGAAGAACAAGATATAGTACTGTGCTCTTACACTTAAGGAAATTGGAGATTTATGAGGATCTGACGAAACCTGGAATGCGACATCGATCAACCCCAGTCTCTTACCATCAATTGACGTCGATGTGGTCAATTCTAATAATAGTCCACGTTGTAGAAGATTTGGGAATCAAGAGATGAGTATGGAGTTTTCAGAGATAAAGAAGACAATGCACAAGATATAGACGATGGAATCATCAATGTGTCAAAAGAAGTCATAAGAAAGATTCCCCAAAGAGCTGCAGTGATTGGTTGTAACTATCTGCACTTACCAGCAGTGAATCAGTATGTCATGCCATCAGTTGACTACTACAGTAGAGAAGAGGTTGATGATATGATCACCAGCATCTACAGAGTTCAAGAGTATATGCAAGATGACTACACAAGAGGACTGATGATGTCAACTATCCTTTGACAACAACATCAGAAGATTAACCTTGTGGATAGACATGATGATGAAGGATATCAACATGAGATTGGATGAAGCACATTTATCCAACTCAAGGATCATGTGGTTGCACCAAAGTGTTGATCATACCGACGAAAGGATAAGTCAAACAGAAGAGCGCATTAAAGAGAGAATGTGAACCAGAGGTGAGAGGCCATAAGAATCTTTGTCAGTTTATGGTTCCATATGAGCAAAGAAGATATGGACACTTGTTTTCTAAAAAATGGATTTATACCCCCATTTTAGTCCAAAAAAACTTAACGTCAAGCTAAAGACTAAACCAAATGCTGAGGGGGAGACAACCCACTATTAGATATATTTTAAATTCATTTATTTTCAAGATTTTACTAATTTTTGTAATTTTATATTGCAGTTAAAAAAAAGAGAAGAAGCTCGAGAACCGCCATCGGTCGACGACGGATCACTACCATCGATTGATTCCGATCACCATCGTTTAAAAAACAATAGTACTTTGATCTCCCTAGTACTTATAGGCATAACAATATTGCTAAATGTATATGTTCTATGTTGGGTAAGTTGAAAAAGTCTCTATCATTGAACCAACAACAGTTAGGGAAGCAGAGGTCTAGGTAAAGATAAGGTTTGATGTTGATGATGTTATAACATAGAAGGTGGACACAGATAATGAAAAATGATAAGTCTGTGCTTCTAAAGTTTAGATACTCGGGATTGTAGGAGTTAATATGAAATATTATCAGCTTCGTAAATTTATCTCAGAGATCTATTGATATGATGGACGATCAGCACCAATCCGTATGCAACAATTGAAGAAAGGAACAGTGCAATCTCAGGATACATATGATCAATTGAAGAGGACAAATCTTCTATCCACCAGTTTACAATGGAGCATTAAGTAACTGAAAGAAGTCAACAAATGCATGAGAAGTATGTCAAAGAAGTTCTTCATTCAGTTGGATCATTAAGAGTGCATGATGTTAGTGAAACCAGAGATCAACGTACAAAACCCGAAGCTCTAGATACATATACTGAAGATACTTCAAAGAGTGCTAAAAAACACAAGGATCCAGTTCTTAACCAAACAATAACAAATGTTTTGGTGGTTCCCCTAAAACCACCACTACAGCAATGAAAAAAGATATTGGAATTGTCAGGAGTTATGCAGGAAAGGCAAGACTAATGTTTGGAGACTTGAGACTTCAATGAAATCAAAAGAAACGATAAGAAAGAAGGTGGCACAGTAAAGTCAAAATTATCATTTGCTTTATTTACGTAATTGCTTTCTATTATGGGGATGCATGATGTGATAGTGATAGGGAAGTGAGTATACTTATGTAGGAAATAGGTCCCCATTATCAGGCCCGTCTCTAGGGGTGTGTTTAAGGTGCATTTGCATTGGGCCTAATTTTTTTTTGACAATTTTAGGTATAGTTTAGGGCCTGTTTTTTTAGATTTACTGTCATTTTCAAATGGTTTTATATGTATTCATGCACTGGGCCTTCTAATTTGTTGAGATGGGCCTGCCCATTATACAATTGAAATCACAGATAAATAAAGTATTGGCTAACTGCGATTGGTTAGAGCTCTATCGTGCATCATATATATTAAGTAACTAGATTTGACCCGCGCTTTCAAAGCACGAGATTTTTTATTTTATTTTTTTCAAATAGAACGGTAATTATAAAGTTATGTGTTTTAATTTTTAATAGCATAATATAGAGTTTAGACACAATATTCACACTTAAAAACCGACTCAAACCGAGCAAAAATTAAGATACCAAACCCGATTAGATCCGACCTAAATATTTGAACGGGTCCATTTTTTAAAACCTTAAAAGTCGATACCCAACATGTCTCTTATCGAGAACCGAATGAATATCCGTATATTCTGAATATATATATATATATATATATAGATACATATAAATATATATATATGTTAGTTATAACTATACTTATAATAATAACAATAGCTAAAAAATAAAATTATAAATCAGTTATTAGTTATTTTAGTTATTGATATAAATGAGTGATTTGGATGAATATACCCAAATCAGATTATAGCCAAGATTTTTAGGATAAGTTTAAATAGTTTAGATAGAAAATACCCAATTAAACTAAACTGGATACTTTGGTTATTTCAGTTAAAATTTGAAATCATCCAGAAATTAGGACATCCGACTCGAACCTGGCCTAATTTTTAATAATACCCAAATGAGACATTTTTAAAAATATGAAGAGACTGATACCATGCTTGTTGATATTTAAGATTTTCATAGCTGTTTTTCTTAATATTTTTTGTTGCTCAAGATTTAAATTCATGAATTAATTAATAGTCTAGTTATGACAATATCTTAAAATTATGAATACTATTCTTCATTTCGTAATTTACATTTTAATTATTTGGACTACTTTAATATTCCATGGTCTCTGTAACTAAGAGAAATTATAGTGAGGCATAAAATAGTTTTTTTATAATGTGTAGTTCATATGTTAAGAAAAAAAAGTTGCCAATATATAGTAGGATGGGTT